TTGGAATCGATTCCATAGCCATGGGCTTTGGTTGATGAGCCTCCCAGAGACAGAGACTCTGTGTTTCTCACCTGGAGTCTGGTAAAGTTTGTGATAAGAAGCATTTGATGATGAGTGAATGTTCAATAAGCTCATGAATAGGAAACCCTTTATAAACTGTAAATCACTACGTAACTTAAAGTTCAGGACAGAGCACTCATAAAAGGTCAATAATTCATTGATTTTCACTGATCTTAATTGCTTTATTCTCTTGGTCTTCGTTCCTAGTCTATGATGTAAGGAAGTTGCTTTAGGCTGCATATGCAAGACCTAGTCCAACACCGGTATTCTTTGATTGTGCTCTTTCTGTCTACTCTTTAGACTCACAAATATTCACTTCACTGTTCTGCATTCTTATGTTTGGTTGTTTGAAAAACTTTTATTATCACATTTACAAAAAGTTGAAATGATAAGGCATCACAGATCCCAGTGATGTAGCCTCAATTCCCACTCATGGTCACCTGAAGGTAATACATAGAACTCCCGTATACGCTGCACCCAGCTCCCCTAATAGTAACTTAGATCGACATGGTGCATGTTAAAGATCAGAAACTAACACTGATACAACTCTATAGTTCAGATTGTATTTGGATTTCAAACAGTTTTTCTACTCATGTTCTTTTTCTGGATCCTCATGAGTTATGAAATGAAGAGTATGATATTCTCTCTCTGAACGCATGCGTAGACATGAAGATTTCAGAGAAGATAGATGCTTGATAAAGAGATCATCCTGAGGAAGTCAAGCGAGTCAGCCATCCTCTACAGCATGCTTTAGAGATCCCCAGGGAATGCAGAAAGGTTACCCTGCATCTTAGTAAATGCCACCAACCCAAATGGGATTCGGTTGAGAAGGTTGAGCCCTGTGATAGGTACTAGATATCCGGAATCAAAGCTATAAATAAAATGGTCCCCCACTGGGGAAAATCTACAGGCTTCTTTGTGGAGCACAGTAGGGACACTGGCTGGGATTTGGATGACTGAAACACTAACTTATAATTGATAAGTCTAAATTATTCTTTCATTCATTATTTATTAGAAAAAGAATACAAAATAACAACACTGTCATCTAGACAATTTTGACTCACAGCGAACCTGTAGGACGGAATAGAACATCCCCTTCGGGTTTCGGAAGCTGTAGCTGTTACTGGAGCAGACAGCCTCCTCTGTCTCTGTGGAGCAGCCGGAGGGTTCGAGCTGCCAACCTTTCAGATAGTAGCCCAATGTGTACTCGGGGCTACAATATTTGTTGAGGGCCTACTAGATACTAAACATGTCTGGGTGGGGCCGCCCACTCGCAATTGACAACAAACCAAAAGGTCGGCCGTCAGAACACATCTAGAAGTGTCACCGAAAAGGGCCTGTGATCTGCTTGCATGCAGATGAAACCCAAACCCAGGTCAGACGCTGTTGAGTTGATGCGTTCTCAGAGTGACTCCCGGCGCGGCCGAGGGGAACTGGGCTCCACAGGGCTTTGCAAGCCTGTGGCCATTCACCAGCTGGCTGCCAGGCCTTTGGTGAGACACACCTGAGTAGTATTGGATCAGCCTGTTGGTCCTAGTTGACCGCTTAAAAGTCTGCTCCACCTAGAGAGTCCTCCAGAGAGATTATAGCCAAGGAAGTCCTACAGAGTTCACTTCTACTCTGTCACACATGAGGTCAAGGTGAGTGAATAGCTGTGGGCTTCTACTTATTTACTATGCACTAGCCCCTGTTCCAGGTGCTTCTCCAGAGCACAGCGGTGAATGGGACAAAGACCCTACCTTCGTGCAACTTACATATGACGCAAACCAGGTAATGGCAAGTACTCTGAAGAGAACAAAAAACAGGTTGAGAGTGAAGAGGGTGCGGCATGTTGGTTTGGGGACAGAGGTTTGGGAAGGTCTGAGTAGGCAGGAGCTGTGCGCCATAATTTACCAGAGCCATGAAACAGGACAACCTGCTCTGCCCACTCCACAGAGCCTTGCTCTTCCTCACAGATGATGGAAACATCCTTCCTCACAGATGATTTCTTGCCAACATGCCCACCTTCATGCTGACCTTGATGCACCAGAGCTCGGTGGGCAGTGCCCCTCCTCTTGTCAGGCTAGGGGCTATCTCTAGCCAATTCATAAAGTCAAAGAGTCAGGTCTAAGGAGAGCTACCATGTCAACATGTCCTCCTGGGATATTTTGAAGCCGAGGGGAAAAGCCCAATAAACAAAACAATCTTTTGTTTCTTAATTTAGACTCCATCTATAGCCGCCTAACCCCAAATTAAAAAACAAAACCCCCAGACACTCCAAACCGAACTCACCGCCGGTGAGTTGAGGCCGACTCATCGCCTCATTGACCGTGATGCGAGAGGCGTTTTCACTGGCGCTCTTCTCGTAACTCCCTTCCCAACGTGGGCATCGTGATCTCCATTGGGCTGACGAGAAGCCTCCAGCCACAGAGCTGGGACTCATAGAAACGGAAGGTTCGGGTGAACCCCAGGATCCCTGGATGGAAGGCCTGAGCTCCTTCGACCACTTGGCAGCTTTGCCTCACTAAACATTTCCAGCTCCCTCTTGTTCCACAAAGTCATTGGCATCTCAGACTCTGATTCAGAAGAGGTTTGGGATAACTGAATCTCCTTACCAGAGGCGCAGGGGCCAATGAGGAGGACCCAGTGGAGATCCCAGCCACTGGGGCTCCTCTGCCCTCCATCTCAGCCCTCACACAGTCAGTAGGCCACTACTTCATACTCTGTCATGGCAGAATCCATGTAGGCTCCATCTCTCCAGGGATATTGCCAGTCCCAGAACTTTCCAGAGACCAGCACTGTGGTCCAGATTCTTATGACAGAACTCCAGCTGCAGCTCAGAGCTTACACTGGGCGGAGCAGCCAGTTCTCAAGAACACTTAAGCTTCACAGTGAAGACTCATTGGATCCAAGTACTGGCTCTCCCATATTCCCCCCTGAGAAAATACCCAATCACTAAGCCCCAGTGTGTCCACTTATAAATACACTTCTAGATTTCCTCTGATTATTACCTTGGAAGACCCATGTAAAGCACTTAGTATAGCAGCCGTCTAGGTACCAAAATACACCCAAGTTCCCCAAACGCACTGCCATTGAGTTCAGAGAACCCACATACGCCAGAGTAGAACTGCCCCATAAATCTTTATGGGAGCAGAAAGCCTCATCTTTCTCTGACAGAATAATTGGTGGATTCAAACTGCTGATCTTGTGGTTGGTAGCCCAACAACTAATCCACTACATTCCCAGGTCTCCCTCTATTCAGGGTAAGCACTCTACCAATAGTAGCTGTTTTTATCTAGCAAGGGCCTCCTCTCTTTCCTGGATCCCTCTACCCCTAGAATCTTTTGCTTTGAATGTCTTAATATTGTTCTGTCTGCTAACTGAGTGTGCTTTTCATAGACACCACCTCCAGCCTGTGGGCTGAGAGCACCTTCTCTCTGGGCTTGCCTCCCCCAGGACCTTCTTCTACTCTCTCCCCCACCCCCACCTCACTAAGGGCCCAGCTCTGCCCAGGTTGCTGTGAATCACCAGGTCCTTCCTCGCCTGTCCAGTCCCTGCATGTTGCAAACACTGAGCACACTCGGCTACAATCCTAAAGAGTGGAGTTTACCCAGAAGCACTTCAGAAGTATCCACTTCCCCAGAGTAAGCCATCGACAACTCTGTGTGGCACAATTCTAACCTGGCACCCAGGAAGAACCTGTATCAGAGCTGACTCGATGGCTACCTGTGGTTTAGCTGGTCTTGCAGAAGGCAACACAGCTCTCAATCAAAAACGTGATCTCTCCCCACCACCCACCACCCCCCCACCGCCCCCACTGCCAGAGCAGACAAACAGAGAGCCACAGAGGATGTAGCTCAACAGCCCAACAGTCAGAGCACTTGGGAGATGAGCTCCTGACACAGGACTGGGTTGGGACTTGCCTGTGACCATCAGACAGGTTCTCATCAATTCTGTGTCATTGACTAGACAGAGCTCAGTCAGGGGGGACAGAACCTCTCTCTGAAAGCCTTTAGTAAACGATTTCCAAGCACTGGAAGCCATTTGAAGTCCAGACAGAGACGAGGGCTTTATAACTGAGGCAGCAGCGAGTTCCGCAACCTCACGTCTTTGCCTAACTTCCCTTGTCCCTTCTCTCCCATTCCTTTGCCCTAAATCAATATTTCTCAAAGTCTTTGAGGAGCCGAGCTAACTGTGTATTCCTCTCACATAGTTTCACACCAATACTGTTATAAAACCATGTAAGTAAGTTACTGAAAAGCTAAAATGCCATGTGGGTGGATTGCAGGAGGCCACCTCTCAGAAAAAAACAAAAGCACCCTCACCCTTGGGCCTGTGGGTCTCATTTTATCTGGGAACAAGAGTTCCTTGTTAATGCACTGTCTCCACAGCTTATGACTGCTGGGCTACTGGGCCTCACATTTGACGACTTTCTGTGTGTTCTAAACAGAATCACTTCCGAGTCATAAAAAGAGCCAGTCTGGCATAGGAGAGAGGGTTATCTCGTGACGATGACCGAGGAACCAGGGAACAGGGGCAATGTAAACTGTAGGAAAGTGGGTCCCTGTCCTTGGAACCCACCTGTGTGCGGCCTTTCTATTACCACAGTGCTATATCACAGCGACAGATGTCTGTGCTGAATGGCTGCAAATGTTGTTAAAAACTCTTAAGTCCCATACTTATTTTGGTGCAGTATGATAAACCATCTACAGACCCTCCCAGGCCCTGAACCAAACATCAGAGTAGGCCCTGAACCAAACATCAGAGTAGGGCAGCTTCTAGAAAGATCAAAAGCAACAGGGTCTGTCAACCGAGGACACTCGCCATCCTGGCATCCCCCCCTCCCACCCAATAGTCCCGCCCAGGGCATGCACGGTAAGATCCTGGTAGGATTTGCCCAGACCTGAGACACCCCCAGTCTCTAGAGATCCCGCGACCCCCAGGGATGGGCTGTCCCTTACCATTCCGTGCCAGCCCTGTTGATCTCCTCCCACCAGCACTCCGAGGGCTCCCCGAGGCTTTGGGGTGTCGGCGCGCAGGCATAATTCCATTGTCTGTCAGAACCTTCCTTCTTGCTGAAGATGCTCCGCACAGCCACCACCACCTGCCCTTGGGGACACTGGAAGTTGAAGCCCTGCCGGTTCAGATTCACCCACCCATCGTCGCCATAGTCGTGGTACTGCTGGTACGGGTAACCGTAGTCGCCGTACTGGCCCCAGGCCCCAGTGAGCAGAGACAGAAGCACGCATAGAAGCGTGAGGTCCATGCTGCCTGACTTCTGGCAAGCTCTATCAGCCGTGGTTTGCTGGGCTGGCTGTTTTATACAGCTGCCCCTGACATGTGGCCTCCAGATGTGGATAAGCCAGTTCCAGCTGCAGTATGTCATTTCTTGAGCAAAACTTTGCTGCACGGAGATGTTGGCCACAAGCATGCACAGCTTGTTTTAAGGTGGAATTCTAGGAACAAGTAATGAATATGGTGGCTCAAGGAAGAGCAATGTTGCAGATACAATATAAAGGCAACTGCGTCCACACCCTGGAGAAACCTTTACCTGAGAAAAAGGACTGGCAGCAGGTTGCCTCTTCCCACCCAACCCCACTCTCTCTGCTCCCCACTAGCGAAGCCCTCTATTTGTTCTCCAAAGCACTGTGCTAAGACTATGCCCATCCGGAGGGTAATTTCAAAACAGAACCATCACAGACTGCGGACTGGAGTCGTTTAGTTTTCCACTGGGCCGGCTGCCTGGTTTCCTCTAAGTTCTCAGCCCATCGGCTAGTAATACTTGAGTGTAAGCAGGGGTGTGCCAGTTTTCAGGACTGTTCTGAGAATTCTTCAGTGCATCATGGGAGTGTCTTCGGGCCCTGGGAGAGAGGAGCTGGTCAGGATCCTGCTGGAAATGGACCCGGCCACGCCTGGACACTGGTCTACTCTCCACCACATGGTTTAATCGGAATCACTATACTTTTCACACGTTCGTGGTTTTTTTATGTTTATTTTGTTGTTGGAATTTCATTTTATTTGGGGCATAATTCGAATATCATAAAAGGTGTCCTATGAAATGTTTAGCATGCAGCACCACAATCAGGACATTTCGCAGTTCGGTTAACCCTCCCAGACCCCCCTTAGGTCAATTTTTAGTCAATCCTTCACCCCCAATACCCACAATCCTTGGTGTTTTGTTTTTTTTTCTCTTCTGTTTTTCTGAGACTATAAATTAAATGGAATCGTAGAGTTTTTAGACTTGGTGTCTTTCTATCATTCAGCAAATATTTTTGAGATTCTCCCATGGTAGTGTGTGTATCAAGGTCTGGCCTCTATTTCATGATAAGGCTGCAACACAGTTTGGGTTTTTTTCAGCCAGTTACTATTTGACTCTGGATTTGGGTAATTATGACGGAAACTGCTATAGGCCTCAGCTCCAAGGCTTTGGGGAAGACATCTATGAGTGGGATTATTGGATGCTATGATAAGGGCATCTTTTCTTTTTCTAAACCATTTTATTAGGACATCATCCCGTTCAATAATTCAGTCATATTGTGCCGTGCTCTACAATATCTACCATAATCACTTTCAGAACCCTTTCTTCCTTCCTGTATTCATTTTTACCAGCTCATTCCTCCACTGCCATACCCCTGGGAACCTATGTTCTAGTTATTGCTGCTGTAGATTCACCCATCCTAGGTTTAATATACTAAAAACATAGGGAAAAACCCAGAGTCAAGAAGGCTACCAACAAAGACAAAATACAAACGAGATAAATTTCAATTTGAAAGCCAAGAAACCAGAAAATATTGAAAATCAGATCAAGTTCAAGGTTTATGAAAAATGAGATCAAATGACAAGGTTTTAACCACTAAAGTGAGATTGGTCATTTTAATCGACTATAATAAATGTCTTTGCTATATTCTCGGTCTGATAAACAAGCCATTTGCACCCTTCAATTATAGTCAGAGGGAAATCATCAGAGGCTTAGTTCATGTGTAGATCCTGCAAATGCATGTTAGGCTTCCACTGTCATCTATAGCTTTCTGCAAACCAGAATTTCACAATATAAGCTCTGATACCGTTTCCTCTTTTGGATTTGGATTAAGCCATTTACAATCCTTGGCTCAGGAATGTCAATGTGTTTCTTCCATGCAGGCTTAGTTAATGTCTCACTTAGATGGCTGCTTGTCTGAAAACAAGCCTTCAGCCCCCAGATGCTATTGTTTCTGATAGCCAGGCACCATCTAATTTCTCACCACCTTTCACTGAAGCACCCAAATCTTCCATGTTTCCTTCAAGAGGGCACGTACCAGCAAGACCATGTCATAAGAATTAATTGTTCTTGGATTGGAGCTAGAATTAAGTGCCCAAAATCCATTTCTAAATGAATGTTTTGTCTCTGCCTTTGGTTGAGGTACATGTATCTTTCTAAGAAACCAGGGATCTGATGTCCAAAGTGCCTGGACCTTAATGCATCCCTTCTAGAAAAGTCTTTTGAATTGTTGGGAAAGTACAACAATTGTTGGGAAAGTACAAGTATGGTTGCATACTGGGCTGCTAACCATAAGATCAGCAGTTTGAAACCGGCTGCCACTCTGAAGGAGAAAAATGAGGCTTTCTATTCCCTTAAAGAGTTGCAGTCTCAGAAACTCACAGGGGCAGTTCTACCCTGCCTTAGTGGTCTCCTATGAGTCAGAATTGATTCAATGGCAATGAGTTCAGTTGTGATTTTTCCTCCAGGAGTCTGGATGTAAGGAAAAGGCATGCCATAACTCCACTCCCTGCTCAACTAGTATCACATTCATGTTAGTTCAAACACCAAGGTAGCTTGGAAGGAGAAAATCATGCCTGGGAATAACAGGACCTTGAGTATGGTGTAAGGTTTGTGTGTATGTGCACTTTGAGGATGCAATTCGTTTAAATCATGGTAGTTTTTGAAGGATGGGTGGAGAAGGAATCTCTGGAGCAAACTGGTAAATGAGTCTGTTGTTAGCATCCCCTTATACCAGCAATTCTAACTCCAAGTAATTCTTAAGTACTCGATCCTGATACCCTCCAAGTTAAGGACTATCATCCAGATTTGTAGTGGTCTGGACAGTTTTTAAAACACCAGTGTCTGAACCTCATCCATATTCAATCATATTAGAGTCCTCTGGGAGAGAACCACATAATCATGTCCTCTAAAATCTTTATCATTCTCATGTACAGCCAAGTTGAGAACCATTACTTAGAAGGTTTATTTATTTATTTACTTTTCTGAGCTTCTGCAATGTATCCTGGATTTGGGGGGTGAGGTAGGGGGGTGACTTATAGTAACTAACCTCAAACCTTACCAAGCTCCAAGAGACAACAAAATCATTGTGAGCTGTCATTTAATTATATGGCTACTTTACAGCAATCTCCGGGCCTTCCTGGTCCCACCTCTCTACAGACTTCTCATGCAGTCGGAGCTCTCATGAGTGTCCTCGCTGTTTAAGCCAGTTTGGGTGCAGAGCCCTGTTATTTAGAGCAGACAGCATTCAAACGCATGCAATGTCTCAGGGGATTACTGGATCTGCTGAGGCCTCTGAGTGACTTCCTGGAGGACTCATTGCAAGTGGTTGACCCAAATGGTCACTATGAATGGAAGCTAGTCAGTGCAAAATAATCATCATCATCACCACCAAAAACAAATGCCCAGTGCCAGTTGTGATTCACAGTCATGTCACAAAACAGAGCGTAACTGTTGTTCCGTAGACTGCGTGACTTTACAGGACTGTAATGCCTTCATCTTTGGCCGGCAAAGCAACTAGTGGGTTTCAGTCACCCACCTTTCTGTTAGCAGTCGAACACTTAGGCACCAGCATGACCAAGCCACCTTGAGTTTAGTTAAGGGGTGCTGAATTTCTGTTTCAGGGAATGAAAAGCATTAATAATAGATACTACATGAGGGACAAAAGTCATGCCACTTCAAATGTTTAAAATGACCATTTTTAAAAAAAATCACTGTATTGGGGGCTCATACAACTCTTATCACAATCCATCCATCCATTGTGTCAAGCACATGATGAATGTTTTTTGTATACAAACTCTACTCCAGTAAGAAGAAGAACCTAAGGTTAGCAAAGTTGCATCTTGCCAAATTGTATTTTCAACTGGGTTGCCAGTGTATCCTTCTCAGAGCCTTACATCACAGAACTACACTTTGGGGGTGGAGCTAGAAGATACATTTTAACAAGCCTATTGGGTGACGTGCTAGAGCGAGAGCCACTGTGTAGGATACCTTGGGAAACTCTAAACTTTAGGAGTCGTTTCATAAAGAGTAATATAGTGATACTGAAGCAAAGGTTCATGCAATCTCGTGAAGGCAATCTGACCCCAAACAATTCTTTTCTATTCCAGAGCCTCTGCATGTAACCTCTGGGCTACATCACCTTCTGAGAGATGAATTGACTTGACGTGCTTTGGAGAGAGCCTACTTACGTACATTTAAAGATCTGGGCTCTTCCTTTTCCTTGCTCTCCTTCTCTCCCCCTCCTCCTTTTATCAAGGTACCTTTATTGAGATATGAGGATTCGTGGTGGCATTGTGGGTTAACGTGTTAGGTTACTAACTGCAAGATCAGCAGTTTGCAACCACCAGCCGTACAGCTGGAGAAAGATGAGGCTTTGTACTCTCATGAGCATTTAGACTTTCAGAAACCCTGTCCTATATGGTAGCTATAAATTTCAATCTACTTGATGCCAGTAATTCTGGTTTTTATTGAGACACAATCTATATACCATACTAACTCCACTGTCATCCAATTGATTCCAACTGATAGCAACCCTAGATAGGGTTTCTGGAACTGAATATTAATAAGAGCAGACAGTCTCATCTTTCTTCCAAGGAGCAGCTGGTGGGTTCGTACTGCTGACCGCGGGGCTACTTACCAGTCGTTCTCAGCCTTCCTAATGCCGAGACCCTTTAATACAGTTCCTCATGCTGTGGTGACCCCCTCAACCATAAAATATTTTCCTTGCTACTTTATAACGGTAATGTTGTTACTATTATGAATTGAGCAACCCCTGTGAAAGGGTCATGACCCACAGGTTGAGAACCTCTGACTTATCCCATTCAACAATTCATCTTTTAGTGTACAATTCAACAGTATTTAGTATAGTCACTGCAATCAATTTAGAACATTTTCATCACCGTTAAAAGAACTCCTGTACCATTAGTAATCACAATGTTTTCATGGCCCATCCAGGTGATAGCATGTATTTGTGCTTCATTCCTTCTTATTGCCAAGTAGCTTTCTATT